GATTCAAAGCCTAGAAAAATCCAGGAGAACATGAAGCAACGTTTTTCCAAGAGGCTTGGAATCTCCTCGGAAGCAGTGGAGAAGTGCTGAGGAGCTTTGCCGAGGAGAGTGGCTGCTCTGACAGGGCTGTGGTCTCTGTTCCTTGCAGATGATCCCTTGGGGATGCAAAGGAACATGGAGACCCTCATGGAGTCGTGCAGCAGTGACAAAATCAGCTGCTCAGCTGCGCCCACTGCCTTGGAAGGTAAGAGAGCTCCTTTTAGGAAGGCTGACTCTTTGTGGCAGAGTAGGTTTGCCTGCCAGCCAGCTGGGAAAAAATCCCAGCTTTTCCAAGATGGAAACAAGCAGCACACACCAGGCAAGAGGCCTGTGAGTTTTGCACTGACCCTGGCATAAAAAACGTCGGAGTAGGTTCAATTAGTCATAAAGGCAGCTGAGCTCCAGGAGCACTCGGCCAAACCCCTGCAGGGCGAGGAGGTTGGGACACCCACAGTGGCACCGGCTCCTGCTCCACCAGAGCCACCCCCCCGGGAGGGCCTGGAGCTGCAGCCCTGCCCGTGCCCTGAGCTTGGCCCCTGTTCCCTCTGTAGCCCCCGACCCCGAGCCGTGGGAACGGGCCTGTGACACGCTGCTCATGTGCATCGTCACCGTGCTCAACCACGGGCTGCGCAACGGCGGCGGCGTCGGGGACATCCTGCGCAAACCCTCCAAGGACGTGAGTGGGGCAGCGCCCGGGACCTCCCTGCTGCTCAACCCTGCTGCCCTCCCTGCTGTGCCACTGCCCTCCCTGCTGTGCCACTGCCCTCCCTGCTGTGCCACTGCCCTCCCTGCCTGGGGCACAGCTGCTCAACCCTGCTGCCCTCACTGCTGTACCACTGCCCTCCCTGTTGTACCACTGCCCTCCCTGCCTGGGACACAGCCAGCTCTGTCCCCCATGCTCCCCCCCAGCACTTCCCTCCTCCGTTCCCAATCCCAGCTCTGTCCCCCGTGCTCCCCTCCAGCGCTTCCCTCCTCCCTTCCCAGTCCCAGCTCTGTCCCCTCAGCTCTGCCCTCAGCTCTGCTGCAGCCATGCTGCCTCACTGTATGGCCAGAGCTGTGCAGGACACCCAGTTCTCCCTCTCATCCCTTACAGGAGTCCCTGTTTCCTGCTCGGGTTGTCTACGACCTCCTCTTCTTCTTCATCGTCATCATCATCGTCCTTAACCTCATCTTTGGGGTCATTATTGACACCTTTGCTGATCTGAGGAGTGAGAAGCAGAAGAAGGAAGAGATCCTGAAGACCACCTGTTTCATCTGTGGTGAGCGTTGGGAACACGGGAATTGCCCCAAAGTTCTTCCTCCCCTCCAAGATTGGGGGGAGGAAAAGAATTTCAGCTGGTTTCTGTTTTTTATTTATCACTGCAAAACTTAAATCTGTTCAGTGAGGGGTCAGTGCACTGTGAGGGTTTTAAACAAGGACACAGCTGAGAGGAAAATGCTCTATGTTGTTCCTCATCCTGTTAATGAGGTGTTAAACTAAAACCACATTGTCCATCTCATTCCTGAGACCATCCCTGAGTCAGTGAGGAAAAAAAAGCAGCATATTACTAAAGAAATAAAGTACAGAAAATGTTCTGGAATACTTTCAGTCAGCAGAAGGCATCCAAAAAAAAAAAAAAAAAAGGAAAACCCTAGTAAGTCTCAGTGCCTTTTTTTTTTTAAAGATCCTCTGGGTGCATTTCATGCATGTAGGTACCTGGGCAGAGGCACAGCCAGCAGGACTTTTAATAGAAGCCTCTTGAACAGTGATTAAGGCCAGGTTGGACAAGACTTGGAGCAACCTGGGCTAGTGGAAGGTGTCCTTGCCCACGGCAGGGGTTGGAACTGGGTGAGGTTTAAGGTCCCTTCCAACCCCAACCATTCTGCTGTTCTGTGATTTCCCCCTGGCCTGTGGGTTTGTAGGTTTGTTGCGTGCTAAATGCCAACTAATTATTAAAAGCACTTGAAGGACCCCCCTGGGAGAGGATGGGGTTGTCTGTACGTCCTTACACACGTTTGCTGCTCAGTTCTTACCTTCTCCTCCCTCCCCTTCTCCAACCTCCACTGCCTTTCCCAGGCCTGGAGCGGGACAAGTTTGACAACAAGACCGTGTCCTTTGAGGAGCACATCAAATACGAGCACAACATGTGGAACTACCTGTACTTCATCGTGCTGGTGCGGGTGAAGAACAAGACGGACTACACGGGGCCCGAGAGCTACGTGGCACAGATGATAAAGGTACAGGGCCCCTGGGGCCATCCCAGCCCGCCTGCCCTGGGGATGCTGAGAGCGAGGGGCTGGCCAGAGAGAAACAGCTCTCAGAACTCCCTTTGGAAAATATTCAGTAATGCAGAAGTGCCTCAGTTCGTCCTTAGCTGGTTATTTCCACTTTGCCATCCCAGCCAGCACCACCAGTGTCTTGTTTGATGGTTTTGGCCATGAGTTTAAGGGTTGAACCAGGCAGGAGGGAGTGTGGCTTCGAGGGGGTTTCAAGGCAAGAGAGGGAAAGGAAATTGAGGAAGGAAAAACTTCTGCACGTGAGCCCAGAAGGCTGCACAAAATAAGCGAGAAATAGACGGTTTGTGGGAAACGTGCAACGATGTTTGCAAAGAGAATTTTTTAATCCCTAAGCACGGGCTGCCTGTGAGACCCACACAGGTCTCCTTCCTCCTCTTCTCCCCACCTCCAACTCCCCCTCCCCATGGTTGCCTTTCCAGAACAAGAACCTGGACTGGTTCCCCCGGATGCGAGCCATGTCCCTGGTCAGCAATGAAGGGGAAGGGGAGCAGAACGAGATCCGGAACCTGCAGGACAAACTGAACACCACGATGAAGTTGGTGTCCCACCTCACCTCGCAGCTGAACGAGCTCAAGGAACAGGTCTGGACACTGTTGAAAGGGGAACCCCTGTCCTCCCCAGCATAGACACCAGGGCAGTGCAAGTACAATACAAGCCAAGGGCTCCCGCAGCTCCTTTCTGGGGGAACTGGGGACACCTGGGACACGTGGGTTTTGGATGGTGCCACTCCGAGGGTTTTCTGGCAGAGGCTCAAAGCAGCACAGTCAGACTCAGGGGGAGTGTGTCAGGTTCCTGCCTCACCCCTGTCCCTGTCTGACCCGCAGATGACGGAGCAGCGGAAGCGCAGGCAGAGGATGGGGTTTGTGGATGTCCAGAACACCATGAACCACTGAGACACCGGCACCACCGAGGGACTGCACCGTGTGCCAGCTCAGGAGGCTGCTCATCCCTGGCTTCCAGGCACGGATGTCACTGTCTGGGGACGACAGACCACACGGAAAGGGCCTCCCAGGCAGCATTTCCCTTAGAGCGCTTGTAAGCAATCCCAGGAGCAGGGACTGGCCGGATCCCTCCCCACACCTGGGCCCAGGTGTTACTCTGCCCTTGTAGGAAGATAAATCATACAGGACTTTTATTCCTCATTGCAATAACTCTTTTATTTTGCAAATGTGGAGGGTTGTATCTTTATCTCCATGTGCTCCATCCCCTCGGGTGTGGGGGAAGTAGCTGTAGGGCTGCAATATTTAACTTATTCCAAGTGGCACTAGTCCCTGTGGATCTTTGCAAACCAGCCACGGTATCTGCTGGGCCTGCTCCACGCTCATCCCCCTCCACTTAAAGAATTCTGTTCATCTTGTGGTGCAGTAAAGAGGAGCTGAACTCAAGGAGGTGGATTTAATTTAATTAACTCACCAGATGAGGAGCTGAGCTTGTCCTAGTGTGAACTAGTCTTTTGCCTTCTGTGGACCAAGAGTCTTTGGGCAGCAGTAGTAGGAGCCTGCAGGTTTACAGGAGTTCACTGTGAAGGGGTGTCCTGTGTTTTAGTTTCATCTCTGGTGTCATGTTTTACTTTTTTTTTTAGTTGTTATTGTCGTTACTTAAGAACTGAAGTGTAAATTGCCTTAACTAAATTAAATACAAAATCACGTTATAATAAAAACTTAAACGTGGTAAAGAAAGTTCCCTTCCTGTGCCCTTTGGTGTGTGATGGGGCTGTTAAATAGAACCCCAGAACAACCCCAGGCCCTGAAGCCAAACAAGGGCTGTCACCCAAGGTGCTCCACACCCCTCTGCTCTCAGCTCTGGGTGTCACACGATGCTCCAGTCTGATGCCAAATACTGCCACGAAGAACCACCATCAACAGCAGCCTCGGTTCCTGAAGCTTTGGACTAGAGCCTGCTGCAGTTCCAAATTCTAGCACTACTTGCCAGGAAAAAAACTGTTGAAACTCATAAAAAGGAGCAGCTGTTGGTGCTGTGGAGCCCTGGCACAGCTCTGCTCCAGACACTCATCCTTCCCAAGCCAACCCCAGCCCCAGTCCCAAGAACAGACTCTGATGCAACCATAAAAGCTCTAAAAAGGAATAAAAAAGGCCATAACAGTGAAGTTGCATAGCACTTGAAATGCGTTTATGGCCCTATATACCAGCATGTCATTAAATCCTGCCTTTACCCCCCAGCTCTGCAATAACCCACCCAGAGCCCTGCTCACACTGAGGGGGATCTGCACAGAGCCAGCCCGACCAGCAGCACTGCAGCATCTCACTGGAAGCTCCATTAAACTCTCAGTGCTCCACTGTCACCATGGCAAAGTCACCCTCAGTCCTCTCCTCGTCTTCTCCAAAGGAAAATAACTGTGATGATTAAAGTTCTCCCTCCCTCCCTCGCCCTGTTCCCTGTGCTAACACACACAAACACAAGCACAGAGAGGTTTTCACATCATCCCTCTCGTCTTTACAAGCACATTTAAAGCTGACACAGCTTTAAGTGCTCCGTGCAGCTCCTGGCTGTTCCATTTTTGTAATACAAAGGCCCAGGTCTGACACCACAAAGTTCTCTCCCTGCACTGCTCCAACAAGGCTTCAGCATGGATGAGTTCAGCTCTGTCCTAGATTTTCAGGGGAAAAAAAGAGGCACAAAACATGAAGGATATACAGGGTAGGGCTGAACAAAAATGCTGCTGCTAAGAGGAATAAATGGTTTTATTCATCATGGCAACACACAGAGCTTCAGGGCTATGTACAGTGGAGAAGCTGAGAGCTGGGCCCTCACTTCGAGTCCTCCTCGGGTTTCTTGGCAGAAAACTTTTCCCGCAGTCTCCTCCACGTCCCTTTTTTCATGTCTTCCATCTGTTTCAGAATGTCTGCAAAGGGAGAAGGAAGGGAGGGGGCAGAGAAAGATAAGCAGAAAAGCAGAGGAATGAAACCCTCTTAAACAAGCTCTGCCTTCCATAGATTTTCCTCTTCTGACTTTTCATCTTAACGAATTTCCATTCCAGGCCCGAGGCGAGGTTGGTTTCCCTTCCAATCAATGCAGGGAGTCTCTTATCACCAACAACTGATATTCAGTTTCCACGCACCACAATCAAAGTTAGGAACTGGAGCAGAACAAAACTACTCTGGCTTCCAGCTCTGCACTTCACAAAGGACGTGGCTGAGAGCATTTCTGCACAGGCTCCCTCCCAAGGTCCAACACAAAAGAAACACCGAAGGGAATTGGGAGATGGTGAAACAGAAGCTGAGCTCCATGTTGGAATGACAGGGCAAACACGGTTCTTTCACACAGTTCCTGCTGTCTGACCCCAAAGAGCCTTTGGAAAGACTTTGCTGTTCCTGCCAGTGCAAAATCCAATTGACTCTTCACCTCAATAGAATAATTAGTTACTCCTGTATTGAATTACTCCTGTATTGAATTACTCCTCAATTACTTCTGAACTTACTCCTCCTCAAACACCCCCAGGGGTTTAAAAGATGCCATGAGCACCACAAAGACCAGAATGTTCCCTTCCTCCTGCACTGCCCTCCCAGCCCAAGCACAGTCAGTACCTGTTGCCAGGATCATCCTGCAATCCTCCACTGTCACCCCGGTGAAGGTCGTGTCTTTCAGCCGTGGATACTTCCCAGGTGAGCAAGAGAAGGAGAGAGGCACAAACACGTTACTTGTGGTGCATGAAAGAGGGACAAATGTCCCCATTTGGCACAGCCCAAGCTTGTTTTTAGTCCAGGAATTCTGTTTATCCACCCAAGTACTGCCCTGCTCCCACCCCACAGAGCCCTGCCCTGAGTGAGCACAGGCACCAGGCACTGCAGCATCCACTGCCCCTGGATATTCCCAGGAACCCTGCCATCCCCAGGACTCCCCCCAAAGGAGGGACGGTGGCCAGTGCCAGAGCTCACCTTGTTTTTGTAGTAGTTGGTGTGGATCCTGACCAGGCTCTCGTACATTTGGTCACAGGCCTCGGGGTCAGCGATCTGCAGGGACACGAGTGTCACACGAGTTATTTTACACCTCCACAGCAAAAACCCCCTTGTTTTCCAAGGCCTGTGACAATGGCAGTGAAGGAGCAGCTCAGCAGACTTCCAGTGCACTGCTGGATGCTGGATACCTGCTGTCCTGCTCCAGGTCTTTCCCTCCCACTTCCCACCAGCTTGGCCTGCAAGAATAACCAGACGTGGGATTTCCAGAACAGACCTTAAACTCTGCCCCAGCTTAATCTGACAGGTCAGTGTGAACACACAGTTAGAGAACACTGTGCTCAGCTTCCTTCTCACGTTTCCTGGCTGGTGCTGTGAAATCTGTGGCCCTCCCTGCTCCGAGGCCACTTCTGTCACCTGTTCCATTGTAAGGAACCACCCAGGACAAGGTGCCAGGATGGAGTCAGAAGCTGCCTGTGCGGGCTAAAAATAGCCTATAATTGATTAGGGAAAGCAGTACAAACGACACATAACAGCTTGGGAAGGGTAACTGGATTTCTATTTCAGACCAGGCTAATCCCCAACCCGTGCCAGGTGTCCCAAAGGGATGCTCCTGCCTGGCACAGCCCCTGCCCAGCAGTGTGGATGGCTGCTTTTCTATTTCACAATGTTGGTTTTTTTCCTGTTTTACAATGGGGCCAGCTTGTCCAGAACTCTGCATTGCTGCTCCACGACAGCAAACCTGAATGATTAAAACAGGTAAGGGACACAAATAACACCAACAGAAACGTGTCAGGATGAAATGGCCTGGCTCCTCCTGGCACAGGGGCAGCACACAGAGTGGGATGCAAAGTAGGAAAAGTAAGGAGAAGCTTTCCTTGTTCAGCAGGAGTGCCCACATCCCACTGCAGGTGATCCTCACCTGTGTCCTGCAGCCCCATCCCAAAGAGCCCTGGCTCAGGCTCCAGCAGTGACAGCACAAACAGTGATTAAGAGGGTGGCCCAAACAGCATCCCACCCCCAGCAAATCTTACTGCACATGATTAAAACAGGCATTAGATTGCTAAAGAGGCCCTTATGGCTCCAGCTCCTCTCTCAGGAGCTCCTCCTGTCGCACATTCCCCTCACTGGATTCAGCCTCTCTACACACAAACTGCCACCAGACATAATTCACATTTCCAGGATGAGTGGCAGCTTGGGGATCTTGGAGCCAACTGGTGCAGCACATCCAGCTGTTCTGAGCATATGGAAAAGCAATAAACTCTTCCCAAAATGTCTTTTACAGACTATTCTGGTCACCAATAAGCATTAGGAGCTTATAATGGTCCCTTGAAGTCGAAAACGCCATCTCTGGAACAATGTTTTTATGCTAAGAAAGGGCACATTTACATTCTGCAGCAACACCTCCACACCTGGGGAGGTCTGTAGCCAAGTCAGGCATCAGATTCCCTAATTTATTTCAGCAGCAAAGCCTAAACTCCGACAGAATTACAGCTGGAGGCGGAATTCAATTGTACAGGCGCTGCACTCCATCAGTGTCAGGCAGTGCTGCAGCTCCCTCTGCCCACCCTGCAGCACCCCAGCGTGGGGGCAAGGAAACCACACCAATTAACTGCATCCCTGCAGGCCACTGACAATTCCCAGGGCTTTGTGCCCCACGCCCATAACCACGGGGACGGAGTTCTCCAAAGGATGTGGTGCAAAGGGTGCAAGAACTGGGTACAAACCAGGGGGCCTGGGTACAAACCACTGTCCTGGGTACGAACCAGAGGTCCTGGGTATGAACCAGAGGTCCTGGGTACAAACCAGGGGGCTTGGGTACAAACTAGAGATCCTGGGTACAAACCATTGTCCTGGGTACAAACCAGGGGGCTTGGGTACAAACCACTGTCCTGGGCACAACCCGGCGGAGGAACAGGCGATGTGGCTCATTGGGGTCTGTGCTTCCAAGGCTTCCGAGCGTTCACACAACCCCCTGCCCTGCTCTGTGCTGTCCCTGGAGGAATTAGATGGACTCCACGCTCCCTGAGGGTCCCTCCCAGCTCAGAATTCCACGCAGTCCCGAGGGAGCCCCGCGCGAGGCCCAAATTCCAGCGGTTCGCGCCCAAACCCCCCCTGAGGGCGCGACCGCCGGCCCCTCCCCCCCCGCCCCTTCCCCGCACGGCCTTGGCGGCGGCGGCGCTCACCGGGGTGTTCTCTCCCTCGCGGAAGGCCTGTGCCACGCGCTGTCGCAGGGCCGCGCCCAGGTCCCGCTGGCGCTTGGTTTCCTCCACGGGCCACTCCTCACAGAGCCGCAGGAACCGCCGGTACCGGCTGGCGGCCATGGCGGTCACGTGCGCACGTCACGTGCTTCTCCCCCCCCCCGCCCGGGTCACGTGAGGCCGCGCGGGGGATTCCCGCCATCCCTGAGGGGGGAGAGGAAGAAAGAAACCAACCCCCCCACACACCGTGAGGGACCCCCGGCCCCGGGACACCTCCCCGGGCAGCCCCTTCCAGCGCCTGAGCCCTCCGTCCACGGAGAAATTCATCCTGGTGTCCGACCTGACCCTCCCCTGGCACAGCCTGAGGCTGTTCCCTCTCCTGTCCCTTGTTCCCTGGGAGCAGAGCCCGACCCCCCCCGGCTCCCCCCTCCTGTCAGGGGGTTGCAGAGCCAGAAGGTCCCCCCTGAGCCTCCTTTTCTCCAGGCTGAGCCCCCCCAGCTCCCTCAGCTGCTCCTGGTGCTGCTGCTCCTGGTGCTCCAGCCCCTTCCTCAGCTCGCTCAGTTCTGCTGCTCCAGCCCCTTCCCCAGCTCCCTCAGCCGCTCCTGCTGCTCCAGCCCCTTCCCCAGCTCCCTCAGCTGCTCCTCACAGGACTGAGAGTGGTCTGGGCTGGGAAGGACCTTAAAGCTCATCCCACCCCCTGACACCTTCCACTAGCCCAGGTTGCTCCTGCCTGGCCTTGGACACTCCCAGGGCCGGGGCAGCCGCGGCCTCTCTGGGCAGCAAACACCGTGCAGGTGTACGAGGGGTGAGAAAGGAGGGCACAGGATGGTTTGTGTCTCATTATTTAGCTGTTCTCTGTTCAGCAGGTGAGGCGGGACCCCCCAGCCAGGGGGATGCTCTGCTGACGAGGGGCTCTGGCTGCTGGAATCGTTCTCAGACCCTTCTCCACCCTTCCCACTGTCACTCCTGGTGTCCCCATCCAGGGAGGCTCAGGTGGGTCTGTACAAACCCCTCAGCAAAGCCACATTTTGCTCTGATCACAGACCTCTGTGCACACAGTGCAGCCAGGATAACCCATGGCTCAAGCACTGCTGAAATTGGGTGTTTGCGGCTTTTTTTTTTCCAACCATCTTGAGTTTGTGGTCAAGAAATATGCAACAGTCTTCCCTGGTGGACTTCAAGCCAAGTAAAATACACAGCTGGGCCAGATGTCTTAAATTTTCCAGCTATAAATTTCAGCAGCTCCCCAGCTGTCCGCAGTAAATCCTAGGGAAGGGTCTCCCTTAGGATCTGGTGTTTAAACCTGGGGAAATAACGACTCTTAAAAAAACACAGGCCTAAACAAAGGATAATGTACTTCAGGGATGCTGCTTCAGGGAGGGAAAAGAGATGGAAACTGAGAGTTACTCAGACAATTTTATTTATATCCCCACTCCCCGGTAATGGAGTTCTGTAGCTCAGTTCCTTGTGCAAGGAACTTCTCCTTCAGGTTTCCCACATCATGCAGGAAGGAATTATATTTTGTTCCATAATAATAATAAAATCTGTCCACAAAAGCTGTAAACATTATTTTGAGTCTTTTGTTATCCTCTCTTTCAAACACACACACACAATATTTGTATCAAAGAATTTCTGGGTGACCTTTGACGTCCAGTCCCTGACTCAGTCTCACACTTTTTTTCTTTTTTTTTTTCCCTTTTTTTAAGCAAAAATCCCTTGATGTGAATGTTTTTTGTGACTGATACCTGACAGAGTCATCGCATTTCAGCCCCTTGCTTAGAAAATTCCTGAAACATGCCCTGTTATAACCCTGCAGGGATGTCAAAGCTCGGCGAGGGGCAGTTCTTGGTCTCCTGGAGCTGCACAGACTCTCTGCAGCACCTCAAGGTGTGTTTGGACACCTGCACAGAGAACCCCGACCATCCCACGGTGCTGGGCAGGCGCAGCAGGAGTGCTGGGCTGTGGGTTTCTCCCCCACTGGAGCAGGAGCTGAAAGGAAAACACTGCAATGTGTTCATTCCTGCCCCAAACACCCAGAATCCCCTCGGCCCGCTCGGCTTCGTGAGCGTCGGGGTGAGCAGGTCCTGGTTTATCATTAAGACTCTTCCAAGTAATGCTTTCTTTGGCTCACAAATAAATCAAGGATAGCAGTAAAACCAGAGAGGAAAATAAATCTTCTGATGGATGGCAGAGAGAGAGCAGATTCTCCCAGCTCTTTGCTTTTCACGCTTCAGCTCAGTAATGGCATGTGGAGTTTTCAGCACTTCCCCAGCAATCCATGCTCGTTCCAGGGGGTGTCCAGCAGCCGGGGGGGTCCCACCCAGCTGACCCCGGGCGGTATTCGCAGGGCTATCGGTCACTAGGAAATCCAGGCCGTTCCGCAGAAATTCTCATTTTCCTTCCGAGAGGCTCTGGAGGATTTTGATGAGGTTCTCCAGGCCAAAAATGTAGCCGTGGTCCGGCCCGTCGTAGGGGGTGGGGCTGCCCTTGGAGCCCTTGAAGGTGGTGTGGGCAAAGTCAATCATCCGCACGTCCACCCTGGCGGGGTTCGCGCCGTGGCTTTTCGGGAGGGGAGGGTGATGATCCGAGGGCGCCGCGCTCTCCTTGGGCTCCTGCCCGTCGTAGATGATGAGGAGGGAGCTGGAGTAGAACCTGTAGGAGCTCTGCTTCCTGATGACAGAGAGCAGGGCCTTGAGGCGCAGGATGATGGGCTCCAGCAGGTCCGTGCGCAGCTGGTTCCCCGAGCACAGGAACTGGCGCAGGGTCTGCCGGAACCCCTCCGGGGAGAGCTTCCTGCCAAAGTACTTGTCCTTGCACAGGAAATGGCCAGTGTCCGCCTGGTAAACCTGCAGGGGGGAGAGCAGGAATCCACAGCGTCAGGGATTGGAGTCCTGAGCTGGAGGGGACCCGCTGGGATCACTGAAGTCCAGCTCTGCTCACAGAAAGGTGTCGGACACCACAAAGGGGTTTGACACTGTTTACGCTGCTTTGTGTGTGCCCATAATCATCCCTCTCGTTATTATCCTTCAGGCAGGGTTTTGAACATTTTGGAACCTGCCTGAGCAGAGTGAGAGAAGGAAATGCGTGGTTTGGGTTTCTAGGGGAGAGGGTGGGGGTTTCAAGCAGGAGAAACCATCACACTGAGCCCCAAGTGAGCCCCTGGCTCTCGCAGCACCAGGACGAGGTGGCTCAGTGAAGGCACGAGCAGGGCAATGCGGTGCTTTTTGGGGGGGGTTTTGTGCAGCAGCCAAGAGCTGAGCAGGAGAGAGGAATCTGTATCCATGTACAGGCGAGTTCTCAGCTGGGGTAAACTGGTTCCAGCTGCTCACACTGGTGGCAGTGGCATGGGGAAAGGGTTACCCTAAATGTGCTGTATTCTACACCCTTCCCTAAGCGTCCTCTCCTCTCTGAGAGCTCACAGAGCTGAGTGGCCAGTTCTTACTGTGTTGGGGGGGAAAAGAGAATAAAACTGCTTCAGTTCCCAGCAGCAGAGTCCCTGGAGGTTTCCAGCTTGGCTCCAGGCTGTTCCTGGGGCGGACCCCAAGGGGCTGGGGGCTGTGCCTTACCTGCATCCCGCAGATGCGGACGCCCAGCGAGGCCGAGGTGCTCTGCTCACACTTCTTGATGTGCCGGGCTTTCTTCTCCTCTGAGGCGTCGTCCCCGTGCTGCCGAGTGCCCATCTTCAGGTCCAGGATACAGGGGTAGCTGTACTTGGATACCACGTTCTCCAGCAACAGGAACTCTGAGCGTGAGTTAAGGGAAACCCAATATTTTCGAATTCTAATTGAAAGAGGCCTTAAATCAAAGCAACTGCTGACGCTCCCCATAACAGCTCACAACTGTAATGAGACTTTCTGAGCCAATTTCTCCTCCGTGTCATTGCTATGGGCCTCTCGCTGCCAATTCCAGTTAATTTACTGTACTACAGTCCTACCAATTAAAGCCCCAACAGCTCCATTCTCCAGTGACACCATAGCCCTGGGCTGTCACTCCAACACCTTCCCCCGGTGCCGAGCTCGCTCCGGTGGGTGGGGGAAGTTGTTAAACCCCATTACTCACATGACTGGTGGGTAATGGAGTGTAATAGGAAAATAAAAGGCGAGGCAGCTGCTAATTCCTGCATAGTTGTGCTTTTAAATGTATGCCAAGGGGATCCTTGACTTCTGCTGAGAACCCTTTATGGGAACTGGGTTTTTTCTTTTTTTTTTTTAAGCAGTGGGAGAAGATGACAGAGAACATTCTGTATTTTCCCGGAGTCTGGGCAGAGTGTCCCCCTGCAATAAACCATGCATCGATTCTGAGCTGTTATTTGCAGCCAGGGCTGTGCTGGAGGGGAGGGAGGAGAAAGGATACGATGGAGTTTGTTCTCGTTGTGCTTGGAGGACATGCGGTTCAGGTGCTGCCGGTGGCAGTGCAGTCCCCAGGGGTTGTAGCTCTTTCTTTCTGGCTGGTTTCCATTTGCGTCTTCCAAAAGGGGATCTGTGTGGTACTGAAGGTCTGTTCTCAAAAGCACCTTCCCCGAGCAGCTGGGCAAAAGCACACAAAGGAGCACACTGGGTTTAGAAGTTCCAGAGGAGAATATTCCCTTCACTCATTTTTTTTTTGTGGAGCCTCAAACTCGATAAGGTGAATTTTCAGGGGCTCTCAAAGGAAACATATTGATCATGTTCAACCTGCAGAGATCCTTTGTTACTCCATAACAGTAATTTTCAGAAAGGCAGCTATTTCTGCCTGCCAATATTTTCTTTCATTATAATTTAAAGTGCGTTGGCTCCCATGAAAAGCCACTCACAGCCCCAGTGACCAGGGATCTCTATTTATCCACTGAACAGGCAAATGGTCCAACAATGGGAATGATTCCCAATTTAGAGGGGCTGGCTCCAAGGAGGGGAGGAGGGAGCAATGAGGAGATTTGTTCTCCTTGGGGGGTCATTCCTTGGTCTCACTCATCCAAAACCCATCACTCCCATTGCTCCAAAGGCAGCAGTTCCAGGGTGGGGGTGTTGCACCTTCAGTCACAGCTGCCCCAGGTGAGTCCTGGAGCAGTTTGGGATGAAGGATGTTTTGCAGAAAGGTCTCTGCAAACCCAAAAGTCATGGTGTGCTGGAAGCACCGTGGTGCCTTCCCAGGAGAGCTCTCCCCTGGGATGGGATGGGATGGGATAGGACAGAAGCCCCTGGAGTGCTGCACAACTATTGCCAGCAGAAGGGTGTTCCAGACCCCTCCCAACCCCCAGCCCACCCCAGTGGCAGGAGAGGAGCAGGAGGCTGGCAGGGAGTGTCCCACCCCTGGCAGACCCTCACCTGTCTCTGAAGGTCTTGGTGCCCTGGGTGTGGCTCCTCCTGAGGAGCCCGTGCTCGGTGCCAGGGCTGGTGGCCACCAGGGTCAGGTTGCCCAGGCTGTCCCTCTTGAGGTGCACTGAGACAACACCTGGACAGAAAGGGGAAAACCAAACGGGAATGAGACGAACCTGTGGATTGTCACAGAGGCCTGGCCACCACCTCAGCAGCCCCAGGAGGCCCAGCCCTGTGGAGAGAGGGCTGCCCAGCTGCCTCCTCGTGTTTGGTGGCCTGTCACAGTGATCCCCCTCTGATTTCAGGCCCAATAAACACCATTAGGCTGAGACCCTGGAAAACAGCCTCAGGGATTTCAAGGGTTCCTCCTGTCAAGGCTCAGCTTGGCACCTGCCTCCTTCCACACCACACTCCTTTGTCCTCCTCCAGGCTCTGCTGTGCCCCAGGTGACCCAGAAAAGCCCCCAGCTCTGGACCACAAGACCCCAGCTTATTTAGCACAAGGGATTTAGGTGGTTTTTTTAAGACAGGACAAGGCTGGAAATGCTTTTCATTGTCAGGAGGCAAAGGGGACAAGGAATTTTCCAAAGACACTCGGTGTGCCAAGGGCTTCTGTTAACTGGAGAGCCCCCAGGAGCAGGGCAGGGATGTGGGCATGGGCTGGCAGTGCTGCCCACACACTGCCATGGTTATGTCCTTCCTCAAGGACCAGCACCCAAATATCCCACGGGGGGAAGGATTGTCACACGTCCCATGTTTATGCACAAGAGGGAACATGATCGTGACCGGGGGGTATTTTTTTCCACCCCAAGTGCTTAAAACACCATTATGAATTTTAGCATTGCAATTTTCCCTGACTCTGACAGGAATCACAGGGCTCAAATGCCAGCCAGCCCATCACGGATTTAGCCCAGGCTGAGCCCATCCCTGGCACGGGGAGGGCTGACTCTGCCTCTCAAGTGACAGCACAGGAATGGCCACGGCTCTCGCTCCAGCCAGCCCTGACCTTTCTGGGAAAGGCTGATAACACCATCCTGCTCCTGCAGCTCTGGCAGGGCTGGCTGAGCCTCCACAGGCACTGGGGCATATTCAGAGCACGGCCCTTTGGGACTCAGGGGGATTCCAGCTCCAAAAGAGGGCAGGGAGGGCTGTGGGACCAGCAAAAGCATCAGTGGAAAGAGCCCTGCTGGAGGTGGGTTTAACCCAGCTGTGCCCAGGGCACCCTCAGCAGCTCTGCTGGGTGTGCAGGGAGAGGCATCTCAGCAGCTCAACAAACAAGGGTGCTCTGTTCTCCCAGGCAAAGGTGCCAAAGCAAATAAATATGCAAAATCCCATCTCTCCATTTAAAGTGAGATTACAGAGAGCAAACACAGACAGAAGGCTTTGCCCTCTCTGTGCCTGCCGGGCTCTGCTGCCTGAGGGAGGTTTACCCCACCTTATTTGCAGCAGCCCCATGTCCCTGCAGCCACCAGCCACCCCCTCGGACTGGGGGTGCCCATCCCTGCCCAGGTCCTGCCCCCCAGAACCCTGGATGCACTTCCCTCCCACCCCCTGCTCAGCCACCACAACCATTCCTCTTTCCTTTCGCTGTGCAATCACCATCACTGTGAACAGACTGCATTAAACGGGCTCATTTTACACTGAAATGGGGGAGGAATGTACCCAGGCTGCTCTGCCAGGGGAGATGGGGGGTCTGAAAACCTCAATTAGGGGGCAGGTAATATTTTTAGCTCTCCCAACCCTTTGCTCATGGAGCTCTGCCTCCCTCAGGCTCCAGCATTATCCTTTCCCTGAGTCCCTTGTGTACAAATCCATATTACTGAGAGCAAACAGATCTCCTCCCAGCCCGGGTGCCTGGGCTGAATTTTCAGGGGATGTAGGCAGGAAAAAGCCAGGGTGTCTCTTGCCTAAATCTAAGCCTTTATATTTTTAAAAAGTCACTGTGAGGCGAGCAGAGCCCTGGATTCCAAATGCTCCAACAGCCTGTAACCTTAAAAACTGTCCCAGTTAGTGCCTCAGTCAGCAGGGCTGTGCTCATTTACATAGTGCTGACAGGCTGGCCCAAAAAACTTATATATAGCGTGAAACCAAGAGTTGTTAAGTATCTGCCATTAATATGAAAATTAATGGGGAGATTTTCAAAGGCAAGAAGGAGCGTTAAATTGGAAGGGAACGTGATCCTCTCCCTCCTCCCAGCTGAAAATTCGGGCTTCAAAAAGCTACATCTCAGCCTGGAAAATGCTTTTGTTTCCCGGTGTGATTCCATATGGGTTTGCACATGTCCTGCCGTGACCTGTGTGTGTAAAACAACTCCCTGACACTTGGCACCAGCCCTTCTCCTTTGCTGCAGCAAGCAAACATCTCTCTGGGATGCATTTGGGTGCATGTCTGTGCTGGCCTTTAGTGTCCCTGACACCCCAGTCCCCTCCTGCCAGCACCAGTGAGGCACCAGTGGGTATTTATGGGTGCTGTCACCACGCTGGTGGCATCCCAGGATCCTCAGGAGGTTTTGCTGTGGAGCTCTGCCCTGGTGGGTTTATTTTTACATTTACGAGCACATTCATTGACTGCCATGTGCAATGGGAGCCCGAGCAGAACCAGGCTGGAAAACAAGCCCAGCATCCCCCAACGAGCTCAGCTGGGGCAGGCAGGGCTGGAAGGGAGATGGGGAGGGGGAAGCCAGTCCCAAGGTCACCAACCTGCCTGACGTGGGGAGGGGAGAGGGAAGGGAGCTACCGGTGGTGAGGTGAGAGGGAAGGGAGCTACTGGCTCGGGGTGAGGCTGGAATGACATCTGATCACCCCTGCCCAGAATGTCAACCATTACATAATGCTCCCTGGGCCTAAGAATAGAGATGAGGCACTTGGACACGAGGAAAGGGGTGATGGAACCCTCAGGATCATTCCTGCTGATGCTCACCAGCCCCATCATCCTCGTGGGAAAACATCCCACCTCTTCAATTGCCTGGGACAGTCAGGAGACGAGAGAACGTGTGTGCCCAGCGCCAAATTGGAGGGGAATTGCTATTTAATTACCCTTCATCACAAAACTCCCTGGGATTTGAAACGGGAGAGAAAAAGACAAAAAGGTTTTAATAACCAGGGCAGCCCTGGGCTGGTAAACTGGGACTGTTGAACAGCTTTATCAGTGGCACCAAGCAGGGCCCAGCACTGCAGCACCAAACCCGGCCCTGCACAGGAAACTTGGTTTCTCCCTGAAGTGCCTTTTTAATATTGTCCCATAAATCTGCGGGGGCCCTTGACTTTCTGGGAAAGGGAGAGATTGGGCTGGAACTGTGGCTGACTGAGCTCTTTTCTGTAACACCGAAGGACCAAGAGATATTTTAAGTTTTTACGTGGCAGCTGAGCTTCTCGCCTCCCCCAAAAACCAGGGTCGGGAGCTTTATGAGCAGCACAAGTCTGGCAGTAAAAGCAGAAATACCGAGGGAGCAAGAAAGGGAGGGAGGGAGGATGCCTTAAAAAGCACCAGCACTGCCCTCCCAGGCTCCCCGTGCTGCTTTTTCAGTCGCTGAGCTGAGAAATTCAGCTGGGAAGGGGGTTCAGGGCCAGGAGAGGTGTTTGAAGGGGGTCACCGGGCAATGCTGGGGCACTGAGCAGGGGACGGGGGGCCCTGGGAAGGTCTCACCTGCTCGGGGTGGGTTTTTAGGAAGGTGAGCGTTCTGTGCATCCCCTTACCTTTGTACTGGGGCGTGAACTGGCGCATGGCCCAGGGCAGGGACTCGTAGAAGCTGAGCTCCTGCGACACGAGCGGCTTGCAGACGGTGTGCTCGTCGTAGCGCAGCATGCTCGTGTGCCCGCCCACCTGGTGCACGAAGGGCTCCAGGGGCACGGCCAGCAGCTCGGGGCTCAGGGGGCTCTGGCCCACCATGGGCTGGGGGCTCCTGGGGGGCTGGATGCCCCTGGGCAGCAGCACGGGAGGGTGGGAGGCCGAGCCCGGGGTGTGCAGCGTTGTCACCCGCACTGGATCCTCACCCACGCTGGGCTGTCACTGCTGGGATCTGCAAACAGAGGGAATGAGGGAATTAGTGAGAAGGGGGGACAAGGCACTGCAAAGCCAGAGCACAGCCGGGTGGGATGAGATCTCAGTGCCCAGGGGCTGGCAGGGACCCCCAGCCTGAACCACAGAGTCCAGAAAACACCCACTTGAGATCTGTTGGGGGCAAAAGAGACAGAAGGGAATGATCAAGAAACTTGGGACGATTTGCATCCTGGTTTTGCCAGCAAAACCCCAGTGCAGTGGATAATAACGTCTTTGGAAATCCATTTCTGTCCAGGGAAAGCCCCTGGGATGTGTTGCCAGGTGAGCAGCACCACCTCTGCCAACCCCACGGGACAGGTGTGACCAGGGCAGCACCATCACCCCCTCCTTACCCAGGAGACAGGGACAGCAGAGGGATGGTGGCAGCTCCTGGAGGGACCAGCAGCTTCCCAGGGCTCTGCCAGGAGGGCAGCTCAGCCCTTCCCCAGAGCCAGCAGGTACAACCTGACCCAGGAGCTGGATCCAATGACACCCAGAGTGTTCCCCATCCCACAGCAGGAGCCAAAGCTCAGGACTCAATGATCCCTGTGGGTCCTTTCCAACTCAGGGTATTCTGTGATTCTCTGCTGCCTGAATCTCCCCTTCCCCTCCTGCTGTGATTAACCCTGAGCAAACAAGCACCTGCTGCAGGTGCCAGGTTTGTTTTCACCTGGAGAACTGGGATGGAGTGGGCTGAAGGCAGAGGAGGGTGAGAACAACCACTCCTACCTCCAAACCCACGAGCAGCTCCTTTATCTCCCCCAAGGTGGGATTTTTTCCCCCCCATTATTCCATTCTTTGGAGAGGAGTTCCTGCTCTGCAATTACCTTACCCAGGGGAACAGAGCCAGGCCTGAGCCAAGCAGTTTCCAGCCGGGAAGAAAGAGGCTCTTCGGAGCCTTTCCAGGAGTTAATAAAAGCATTTGGCATTTTGTTAAGTTGTGACAGTTTTTAAAGAGGATTTTCTGCCTCGAGACCTGCAGGTTTGTTGTGGTTTGTTTTGTGTGGTTTTTTTTCCCCCCTCTTCCCTTCCTTAAAAATAAGGAGAAAAGCCAAAAGCAAACGGATTTGTCATAACACCTCTTTGGAGCAGAGCACAACATGACTTAAATCCTTTATTGCTTCAGAGACGTTGGTCCAAGGCTGAAACTCGGCTGACACAACCCCCTGACAGCTCTGGCAACCTTGGCATTCCGAAGGGAGTTGGGGAAAAACACCCACACTTTGATAAAGCTCTGAAATGTTTTCTCCCAGGCTAAACTAGGAGCAGGATTTGCAGGAGGAGAGGGAGGTTCTTTTCAGGGAGTTTCTGTTCGGAAGCAGCTCATCCATTCGGAGCAGATAAATGTTCCCACAAACACTGAGCTGCTCTGAGCTCCCCTGAAACAAGACACTTGAAATAAATCACTTCCACTGGCTCAAGGTATCGCAAATGCCAAGAGATATTTACGTCACTAAAAATACACGGAATTACAGATAAATCCCTGTCCTCCAAGAAAACCAGAAGCCTTCAGTACTTTTCCTTGAGCTAAAGGAGAAGCAGCCCAGGTGCTGCAGGTGGAGGAGAGCCAGAAAGTATTGGGGAAGGAGAATAGAGAGAATATTTCTCCAGAAAAGAGATGGGGCTCAGAGCAGCCTGGTCCATGGAAGGTGTCCCTGCCCATGGAAGGGGCTGGACCTGGATCAGCTCTGCCTGGGTACCAGCCCGGGCTGTGGGGACACCTCTGCTCCCCAGGTGCTTCACCTCACACCCTGCTCTCACTCAGGGCCAAACATCAGAAGAGTCTGAGCTAAGCAGGTTATTTATTCCCAACTCCAAATCCAGCCAAAAAACCCCAAGCAGATTAAATTCTCTAATCTTTAATTAGCACCTACTCCAGCCCATCCCAAAAGGAACTCGTGTGGCTCCGAGTCCGGGAGCGAAGCGCAGCCAGCCCGGCCCCAGGAGAGAGCCCTCGCCTGGAAACCAGCTGGGTCCTTGTGGCAGAAATCCTTAGGAACATTAAAATCACTGTAAGAACAAGAGTTCTGTGCACAGAACCACGCTCTTGGTGCTGCACCTCGTGGTCACCTTCCCCTCTGGGACCTGGCTCCCCAGAGCATCCCAAAGCTCCTCTGCAGGGTTTGAGCACTGCAGGGGCTGCAGGTTCTTTCTGTGCTTCATTAACAGGCAAGGCAAGAACGGGGCTGAGCTCTGGGTGTCCACAGCTCTCGGTACTGGAGCTGCCCTGGAGCCCAGGCCAGCCCTGCCCCGAGCACCCAGAGCTGGGACATGGTGCCACCACCCAGAGCAGAAACGGGCACAGGTTCCCTCACCCCCCTGCCCAATTTCCCCTCCACACCCCCCAGCACCACCAGCCCCTCCTGCCCAGCCTGGTGCTTTCTGGTGGTGCCACGAGCACGATGGAGAACCAGGAGCCACCAGGTCCATGTTCCAGAACCTCCAGAGGTTCCCGGCAGCCCCCCAGTGCCAGATGTCCCTGCTGCTCCCGTCCCTTCCCGCCAGCCAGGGCTGTGCTTAGAGCCTTCCTGATGATATCCCACCTGCCCTCCAAAGCCATGTTCACCCTGCCCCTCCTGCCCCTGCCCCGCCCTGGTTCTCACCTGTGGTGCAGGTGAGACACCTCCCTCGGGGGCACCTCGGGGTGCTGCCGGCGCTGCTCTCGCTGCTCCTCGCTGTGTCTGCGGGGTGAGGAATGAGGGAAGGGTTGGGCATGGCCCAGAGCCCGGAATGTCCAGCTGACAGCTGAGCTGTGCCCAGGGAGCCCCTGCGTGGGACAGGGATCAGCCCAGGGCTGGGACCTGCCTGTGCTCGGCCTTCCAGCAAGTGCCTCTCCAGCCTCTTGGGCAATCGGCTCTCCAGGAAAACAACTGTCCCTTGGGGCCAGGCTGTTCTCCACTGACCCTCCCCTGTGTTTACACCTCCCTGCAGAGTGGGCTGGGGCTGGGGCTGGGAAAGGGATGGATATCCCGAGCTTCCCGGAGCTCCCAAACCCACCTGCTGGGTGGGAAAACACCTGGCTGCAAACCAGGAATGGGGTGGTGAGGGGCTGGGGTGCTGTGGGACACCAAATCACCCATCTCCGTGGTATTTATGGCAAGGGGAGCAATGCCCAGGGTGAGAGGAGGGTTTGCCCAAAGCTGGGCAGCAGGTGAGAGGATCCAGAGCCCCAGCCCTGCCAACAGCAGGGAAAAGAGACATGGGAGCGGTGTGGGGAATGGAAAATTCCCAGGGAACTCCCTGCCAGGGCCAGACTGTCTCCTGCAGCCAGGCAAG